CGAGGCCCCACTATCTTATCGCCTACTTTTTTACTAATTTGTGCATTTAAGTCACCCATCATAAAAATTTATTTCCGGTCACTAATTTCACTTAATGCTGTTGTCAATTCCTGCATAAAATCATCATCAAGTTGCACATTAACATCATCAGTTACTCTCCTACACTCTCAGTACACTCCTACAATTACTACACGTAGACTAAATAATTTTATTTCCACTTTTACTATTCTGGGAGAAATAGCTTCCCAGTTTTTTAATGTTCTTTTATACTTATTATGGACTGCGATAGAAACACCACATTTCGCTCTCTGATCCTTGCATTTGGATCTCACTATAGAAATGATTATATTGTTCTTGTATTTCACTTCCCTGTCCTTTCTTTTTCGTTTCAGTAAGAACTGCCACATCCAGATGTAATCTGCTTAACTCTTTGAAGACCTGAAGGCATTTTGTGTTAATGCCGTGTACATTCCATCTTCCAAATTGCATTGTCCTTTTTCGATTGGCTTGTCGTTTATAGTTCAAGCCCGTCTTTGTTCCTTGATTAGACTTTTTAGCATTGGTATGTTTTTCTGAGAGACGAGGAGCTGGCCCGATTCTCGACCCCCGCCCTGGAGGACCGGATTCGTAATTGAGGCGTCCTTCCCCTAGGGAGGCTGGTTTCCCTACAACTCCGGAGGCCCTCCTCCCCCTTGGTTTACTGTCAGGGTTTTCCTTCCCTTAGCCCAAATGCTCCCGTTTTAAGGCGCCGGAGACCATCCCGTGTTCAAATATTAATACAAAACAGTTTAAACGATAATTATTTATCTTAGCACGCAAATTTATCTTACAATTATACAAATAGTATTAAAAAATTCCAATAAATTATAAGTTACACTGTTTTTTTTGTCATCTATTGTCAAAGGCATTGCGAAAACATTTCATTAATGTTCAGTGGAAACATTTTCACGATTACATGAATTGTAAAATAATTTTGAACGAATGAAAACAAAAAATCAGACCGAGTCGTCAAATATATATCAAGTGTACCCAGGAAGTAAAGAATGACAGACGGACGCCGGTTACTCGATTACTGGACACGGATACATTTGTTAATATTTTAGTGCTACTAAGAGAAAATGTAATTAAGCTATGGCTCCATTTTTTCTCTAATTTTTGACCCTATTAGAGAAAAGTACTCAAATCAGTAAGGCACGGACCCACGGCGGTGGGGGAAATGAAGGAAATCCCACTCTCCCAATTGTTTTTCAATAACTTATAATTTTAACTTCTCACGAAACATTTAAGTAACTAGTGGTGCTAACCCAGCATGCACTTTTTCGACTGTATTTTCACGCAAAATTACGCCAAAAGTACTCACATTTTTGAAAAATTGTACAATACTGTATTTCAAAATCTATCTTTAAGGAACAGATTTCATTAAGGGTAAAATCTCTATCTTTAATATTTTAGATCGATTGGGGAATATCAATTTTGGAGAAAATTGGCTGAACGGTTTAGGCGCTAGCGTTGTACACAGACTGAGAGACAGACGTTTTGCCGTCATTCGAGTTTTCGATATCAAGGATCTACAAACCATAGCTTCTGGCTACACCATGTGTTAAAGGCTTTTTTCTAAATTTAACAACTGAATTTATTCACTTTTTCGTTACCAGGATCCTGTAATAAGAGTTTTTTTGCGTAAAAATATTTTTTGTATTCCAGCATTATAAAGAACCTTTTCTGTTGCAAGAAATCGTTCATAATCGGGCATTTTACGGCACAAATGATGAAGTATTAGATTTTATGTCACGAATGATTGCGTCATCACACATTCAGCCAATCGTAGCGAGAAAATCGGAGGAAGGTAGAGCTAAACGGAGCAACCGACCACCGTTTACTCGCACAACGTCAAAGTCCGAGTCGTCACGAGAAAGTTGGTTCGCAAAATTACGTTTGATTCTCTTATAAATGTATAATTCTGTTATACAAAAAATATAGTATGCAACTCGTTTATAATGTTGCTTTATTACATTCGTGCAAATTTGAAAACTCGCTCCTAAAGTCGCTCCTTTTTAAAACATGTATTCATGCAATACAGCTTAACATTATAAACTAATTGCTTAAACTGTTATTTCAGGTAATCATTAAAACTAATAAAACGGTATTGCAGCAGGAGCTTAGTTTGGCCTTCGTCATTCTACATAATCTGTAATATGACGCATTCTATGTAGGTGCCAAGCGAGTGATCTTGGGTCGCTGTGACATTTCGTGCAATTACAGTGTGCCTGGAACAAAAGAATATAGTATGGGCCGCTTACGTGCGCCTGAGGACGGCGCGGTTAATAAGTACTTAAGAAGAGAAAGAAAATATCTAAAAAGAATAAGAAGAAAAGGGAAAGATATTTAATAAAAAGAAAAAGTAGAAGAGGCTTGAGACATATTTTGTGAAATCTTATCGATTATCTTCAGTCATGGACAGTAATGTTTGTAGGTAAGCGAATGTTTAATTTGTAAATCGATATATCATAACTTTTTATTCAAATTCTATCTGTTCACATCTGTACCATAGAATGAAAAATAAAAGACCCTAATAATTAGTCTTTACAGCTCTATACAACGATTTTTATAACCATTTTTTACTTTTTTAATTAAAAACCATAAAGTAAATCATTAATATTAATTTAATATTTCAATTTTATTAAAAGCATTTTATGATAAATATGTACATACTAATTCCTCTCCCCTCCGCCCAAAAACGAAAATTCGTCTCTAGATCCGCCCCTGTATCAGAATAAGGTACAGGTCCGACTTTCATGAAAACCTCTAAAATTTCAAAAACTGCAAATTTTCTTTATTAATGGAAGTCATTCAATAACTTAAATTAATACATAATCGATAACTATAAATCAAATGTACATCTTAAATTCAGGATAAATGAAAAATTTATTTATAATAAAGCATTGAGTCGGCTGAACTCTACATCTAGTTTCACACACTCTGCATAGGAACATCCAGATTGATATTCTGTGGAATCAAGGTAGGTGTTTTTTGCTAATATATAAAATTATCATGTTAAATGAAATGTATAAATATTTATACTGTTCACAAAGTTTAAGAAGATATTTGAAAGAAGTTATTAATTTTGACTTAGAACGTCAAACCCTTTCAGCTGAAAGGATTTAAGGCAGTTGTCATCCCAAATATTTTTAAGTACTTTAAGTCGCAAAAAAATAGTGTTTACAAATTGCTGCAGTGCAGATCACCGGTGTGAGAGATCTTTCAAAATTTTGTTTTTTGTTTTTTCAAAAATTACACTAATGTAATACACCCAAATTAACCTTACGTCATATTAAAGAGTGCAATTACCACTATGCTTTAGAAATATTTGAAGAAAGAAAATTGGAGCCTTTTTTTGAGGAAATGACGTTTGAGCATTTCTGAAAATGCGAAGTTTTGAGCTACTTTTCACAGAAAACGGTGGAGTTCTAGAAACTTTATATTACATTATTTAAATCAAATGTGCCCATAAATATAATAATGTCAACAAATTGCCGCTAGTATAAATATTAACGACATGAGAAGCAAGTCCAAAAAATTAGATTTTTTAATTTTTGAAAAAAAAGAAAACAAGAGAATAGAACAATGTGGCGTTTGTCGTCTTATTGAGTGCATTTAGCGCTATCCCTACCAAAAGTTTACAAAATCGGAGTCGTTTTTGAGAAAATCTTGTTTTTGTAATTTTTTTTAAAATTGCACATTTTGCACGCAATATTGCCCGTAAACATTTTCAAAACAATGTACCTGACCTGAATGAAAGAACTCACTATGGAGAACAAATTTTTTTTGAAAAAATCTCAATTTTCGAAAATTCAGTGTTATCCGTGAAAATAGGACGTATTTTGCGTTTATAAGTGTATGTATATTCTATTCTTAAAAGAAATTTTAAAAAACTGGAGTCCTTTTTGAGAAAATTTTGAAAATGTCCGGTGGACTTCATGTAAACTACCCCCAAATTTTCAAGAATGTTTTTCAAAATCTCAAAGTTACAACTCGAGCTAGATGGACAGGGGTTTATTCAATTTGGAAAAGTTCCTACCCATGGTTTAGGCGCTAGTAATGTTCACTGACACCAGACAGACAGATCGACGGGCAGACAAGACAGACAGACAGACAAACAGAATGACTAACGGACGTTTAAAAAAATACTCAATATCTGGGGACCCCAAAACGTGTATTTCCTTTTAAATCTCGAAATCTATTTTCCGCAGTATCACATTACTTTCCCTATACTACGTATATTGTTGCGTATATATGTATGTATACGAGAAAGTAAAAATGAGCCTAACCTGATTGTCATTAAATTCTTTGAATTTTCATAAGTTTGATTTATTGATATTTTTCTTGAAAATGAAATCTGTTATACAAGTTTGTTTAAATATTTAATTAATTTCATGTTAATTTTTCCAAAAAGAAGAGTAGTTTCCACTAATTTTAAATTACATTGTTCGAATTTTTCAAGCAATGACTAAGGTGTTATAATAATATTGCATGACGATCACCAATAATGCGAAAAAGTGTTGCACTACTGGGAAGCCACGAGTTTTATTAATATTCTTAACTGTTGATTACTGTAATTGTTCGATGTAATAAAGCAAATTACTAGCAATCATCATAGTAGTTGCTAATTATTGCGATTACAATAGAAGTAAATAGAACGTAAGTAATTAGTTATATTCTGTAATCGAGTAATCAGGAATCTACTACATTTGGACCAACTTGGTTCCATGAAGAGTTGCTTGAAAACGTTTGTGGGCGTTTTTCTCAGATATAACTAGTTCTATAAATCTGTGGCAAATTCATTCTGATATAGGTTTTCATAATACGCGCTTTCATCAGACTTGCTCGACAAGGGTGCCAACTAACGATCAACACATTGCAGAACAGTTGTCCATCCGACAAATGTTTCACATGCCAACATGAAACAAATTAATCAGCTACTTGATATTTCGGCGAGGAAAGGTCATTTGAGAAATTAGGGGCACTCATGCAAAATTAAATTGAATAATTTTATACATTATCTAATAACGTGATTGAAAGCTATTTCATTTTATTATTGGTAGCGATGGTATGAAGATCGAGACAATTTTTTGATTCCCGCTGCCTGCCTGCTGTACAGTGTACACATTGCTGCGTAGTGCGTGTGCAGCGCAAGTTTCTGTGCTAATATTTAATTTGACAACCGCGCAGCCCGAGTAAGGTGAAAGTTCATATTATTTTCTGAATTTATTTTAGTACACCGTAGTTTAAAGTTACGTTTTACGATAAGGAAAGTTTATGACTGGATAAACTACTGCACTAAAACATAACCCTGTATTTCGATGTAAAGAGGCAGTTATTTACATCTTGTTTGCCACTTACAGCTTCGTATGATAATTGTAGTGACCTTCAAAGTTAATGAGAGATTGATTTTATAGGAGTAGGAAAATTTGCACATTTCTCACGGAAAATGGTGCGAGCTTGGTACATGGATGATTCTAAAGAAGATCAAAGAGCAGAACATCATAAGACTCCTCCAGAATTCATTGATGTAAAAGATTTATATAAAATCACAGGAGTGGAATATTTCACGGTAAGTTGATATGTTTTTCAAATAAAAAGAATGGAATAATATTTTTGTAATATAGTGAGCACATTCAAATGTGAATATTTGTTTGTTTTTCATTAATGAAAATGTAAATTTCAAAATAGCTAATTATCCCTATAACTCATTCATTGATGTTTACTGACTGAAGTTTAACATTTTTTTTCAAAGGAAAAAAAGTGGGGGATAAAGCTTTATCCTAGTGTACAATTAAAAAAATTAAGGTATGTGGTGTAGATAGTAAAAGAATGAAACAAGTATATTGTTTGTAATGAATTGCTTAATCATTCATTTTTTTGGCCATTAGAAGTAGTACTAATAAATGTAATATAATGAACTTCCATTTAAAGCAAAGAATGTTACAAATTAGATGCAATAAAACAAGTGTCATGAGCAAGTCAATTTTAAGTATTGAAAAGAATTTATGATGCAACTAATGAAAAGAATATTTTTTATATTAAATATTTAGCCTGTTCAATTCCCAACTTTTACAATAATGTCTAGTTGTAGCCAGGGCATTCTCTATAATAATGGCAATTAATCTTTATACTATTTGAAAATACACGTTTTTAACACTGCTATGTGTTTCAAAATGCAGTAAAAACTAAACAGTCGGTACAAATATAAATCTCTTCAAAATAATATTAAAAACAATGTACATAAACATAAAGTTACGAGTTTAAGTATATTCTCATTTTTCCAGTGTTAAGTATAGTATAGATAAAACTGATGATCTTCAAATGTTTTGGAATAATTTTTTACCACTAAAACTTATGAGATGAAACTAGACAAGATTAGGTCTGAGAAGAAATGTATCTCTTAGTAAAAAGTGCAGTTGTCAGGTCAGAGCATATGAGGACCTGTTGCCCCATTTAAAAAGGCAATATAAACAGTATAATAATTCCAAGAAACTTTTAGTAAAATGCCAAAAGTATATCTGCCGCTAGAGCATAGCATAACAGGCCTTAAAATGTTCAGACATGTCAATTGCAGTTTTGGCTAAGAGGCTAACAGTCATAATATATATTTCTTGGAAAACTAATGATGTTCAGTCAAATCATAAGCTTAAGTGTTAAAAAGTGATATCAAAAAACAAATCACAATTTTCTGTAATTAAACTGAAATGTTTGGAATGATGAAACTTGGATAAACAGAGTCATGGTTGATGAAAAAGGATAAAATTTCTCAGTCTGTACACACAAAAACATGTCTGGCAGCAGATGTAGGTAGAAAATGTAGGTAATGGAATTATCATCATCATCATCATCATCATCATAACTGTAGGTGTTTAGACAGACTGATCTTGTTTGTGTTGGTTCAGTAGACCTAGTAGATGAATATTCTAAGTGTTCCTGATTTTTCCATCTTTCCCTCTTTTAATATCTGTGTTTCCAATTGGTTTGTATATCCAGATGAGTTTTGGTAGTCTGTTACTCTCCATCTTGCAAATGTGTTCTTTCCATCTCTTTTGTAATTCTTCAATCTCTTCAATTAGATTTTTGGTTTTTAGTTTTCTCCCATGTCCTTGCTTTTCAACCTGTTTCTTCTCGTGTCTCCTAGGGAGGTGCCATAGGAATGTCATTTGTGCTGCCTGTATTTTCTGCTTGTTTTCCTTCATTATCCACGTTTCTGAACCATATAGAAACATTGGTTTAGCTGTGATGTTATAAAGTTTCAATTTTGTGGTAGAATCCATGTCCTTTCCAAAGTGTCTTTTAATGGTTCCACACATTCTGTAATAATTATGTAGTTTTCTCTCAATCTCTCCTTTGGTGTGGTTTAGTACATCAATTTTGTTTTCAGGTAAGAAACCTCTCTTACTTGCTCTACCATTTCCCCATTTATTTCAATTTTAACTCTTCTTTGTTCCTGTCCTTGCATTGCCATGAATGTTTTTTGCTTATTGATATTCTCATGGAATATTCCTGTGTAACTTTTGATAGTTCAAAAATTGCCTTCTGTAAGTTGTCTTTGGATTCTGATACTGGTCATGTGTACAGGATTGTGTCAATCTATCCCCTTTTATTAAAGTTCGCTGGTTCATCATCTTCTGCCAATTCCTTATGAAGTGGTTAATATAGATGTTGAAGAGAGCCGATGATAAACCACAGCCTTGTCTGAGGCTGCTGCTAGTTGTTAATGTAATGGAAACATACAATAAAATAGAAAAAAGTGAAAAGTCTCTAATGATCACAAGTGTCATACAAAAAAATTACTGATCTTGGGATAAAAAAGTCCTGAGTACTACCACTCCAGATTTCATTAGATCGCTGCTCCAGGTCTCACTAGAGTTGCAAAGAATAAAAATAATCCAGATCTCATAAATCTGGTCTGTCAATAATCTGGAATTGATTCTGCTGGGAGAAAAAATCCCTTGAAGTGAATACTGTATGTACTCATTTGTTAAAAAGTGTTGACATGACAATAATTTTATTATAACTATTGAATGCAGAAAATTGTAGTGTCTAAAAACTAAATTAGCTACAAAAAATAAGTATTTTTATTACACTATGGTATTGTAATAACGTTACTTTATGGTTTTGTGGTATTTTGTTGTTGGCTTAGAGTGATTGAGTGTAAAATAAGACATATCATACATTCAGAACAGAATTTTTTTTTCTGTAAATAAAGACTTAAAATATATTACTGTAATGGTTCAATTCTGTGACAACATAGCGTATTATGAACAGTTTTAGCAAGTAAAGACTTGTACCCTACATGTATCGAAGTAATCTCAAATGAATTCACTATTTATTTGTATTGAAAGTAGTATTCACACATTTTCATTTAGTTATTAAACTTTGTTTTGAATCTCAAGAGTTAAAGAGTAACTTTGTTATCGTGTTTATTCTAGATCAACCCACAAACTTACACTGAAGATGGTGAGCTTGAATCTATAAAACGTAAACGTGGATATACATATGAAGATCAAATTGTATGCTCAAGGGAATGTTTACCAAACTACGAAGAGAAGGTAAGGGTAATGAATTCAAACTTTTGCCTATAATTGCTATGGAAACATTCAATTCTAAATAACTATTCTGTTGGAAGTTTGAATTACTTGCCTCCCAGAAATACAAATTTTGATGCGGAACCCTTATCTTGTCTATGGCACAATGCCAGAATCCAATTAACCAGAATGATAAAGTTTTTTTCTATTTAATAGGATCAAACTATCACTCAACCACTGTGTTCAGAATTTAACATTTCTTCAATGTGAATAAAGCTCTGTTTTATCAATCTTCGTTAAATTAACATGTCATGATCAGTAAAAATTACCACTTAATTGCAGTATTGCAATAGGTACTACACATTGCATTTGTCTAAATATTGAAATCTTTGTACACTTTTGTACTAAAAGTTGCTGTTACCAATGAGAGCTGCTTAACTTCAGCTGCAGTTGCAAATCTGTTTGACTTGTAGTTCAGTGTAAATTCCATAAAGATTAACATTTATTAGTTGCAACTATGTAAATGATAATAAGTAACTTGGGTGCAATTTCATTGCGAGTTTCTGGTAGGTTGAATATTTCAAGGATTTTTTTTCTAAACTTAAATGTTTGTCTTCAAAACCATCAGTTGCTGAAAGCTAAGTGATTGTTGTCTCCAAAGCGATGAAGACCCTTTGAAAGTTTATGGAAGGAAAAATGCCTTAAACATTTTCAAACGCTATATGAGATAACATTTTGGTTAAAAAATGATGTTGTTTCAACTTGAGGACATAGTTTATTCCAGGGGTTCCCAACCAGATTTGGTATTGACCCCCTGGTTGTCAATGAAAATTTAAAGGTGATCAGCGATGATGGAGTCAATTGGCAGTCTGTCGCTGAATTTCAACTGGTGATTAATAGGTGTAGTCAAGATCCCATTGATTACAAAAAAAATAAATTAATGAACTTGATAATTAATTTCTTTCTGATTCAGTGCAACAAATTGTATAAACTACAAATTTACTCCTCTTCTTTCATATCTATTGTTTATCGTTAGGATCAGGGTGTAGCTAGGCTCCTACAAGACCTGTTTCTCATTAGAATCATTATTAACCTAAGATCTCAGGAAATAGTATATCCTTTTTACGTTTTACCTTAATGACTGAAGTAAAGCTTCAGCTTATTATTTGCCTCACTATCACTTGATAATACTGTTCCTCTTTTGTTTGTCAGTTGAGACATAATTATTTCCTGATTAAGTATAATGTAATACAGACGGTAAAAGTATTGTTTCACATTGTAATGTGTGGTTACATTCTATGACTGATCTAATAGGAAAATTCTTAAAATCAAAATAACTTCCTGTTTATATGTTATAAAAGCAAACATCCATTGTGTTATATGCAATACTTATTGCATTGTGAATTTCAGTCTGATATAACTCTGATGTATTTGAACAAATGCTAATGTATAACATGACCCTTTGAAATCAATTGTACTGTTTAATGATATTCTTAAACTAATAGCATACTCGTATATGATATAATGCTGTAATACTGTGAAATATTGACTGTCCTACTAATTGCACCATGTAATTCAATGTTGGGTCTCTGATGTAATTTTCATGTAAAAAAGCCTAAATCTGTGTGGCACAAATGAGTCCAGCTTTAGTCTTCAGCAAGTAAGCCATTGTTAGGCCAGTGTGCGACAATTTTAGTAAAAATGTTCTGTTATAAAAAAAAATGTTATTGAAGTATTTTTAATGTGATGCCTGGAACAGCAGCTTTTGCTGCTACAGACCACTGATTTCGAACTTCATTGTTCAAACAATTGTTCAGTTTGTATTTTTGAACAATGAATTTTTTGAAACTTGTCATCATAAATTCACTTTTTGATTTGAATTTGCCTTATTTTACGTGGCGAGACTCGGGCCTTCAGGCCTGCTCTTCCGCCTTACCACGCAAATTTTTTAATCAGTAAATCTGCTGTTCACAAATTTTAGAAAAAGTAGAAACTTGGAATGTATCCTATATTAGCCCACATTAATTATATTTATGTTTGACTTTAATAATATCACCAAGATTAATGTTCTAGGCTGTTGTGCATTCACTAAGTATCGTACTTGTTGTATATTAATTTCAGCTTCGAAATTTCTTCACTGAACATTTACATACTGATGAAGAAATAAGATTGTGTTTAGAAGGATCTGGCTATTTTGATGTTCGGGATAAACAAGATCAATGGATTCGTATTGAAGTTGTTCCTGGTGACATGATTATTATACCTTCTGGGATTTATCATCGGTTCACTCTTGATTCTAAGGTAATTGTAATATTTTTTTTAGATAATTTAGTATATTCTTTGTTATACATGAATTAATTGTAAGAATAGAGAGTAATCTATTTATGCATGCATTTGCACCTTTGTGAACTTTATTTTTTACTGACTTAAAAACCTAGCATTGCTTTGACATTTATTTACCACAATCCTGTATTAGATAGCTGACCAATGTGACATTGCCCCAGGTTTACTGTGATGATACTTCTCACTTGCACCTATAATTATACTATCTTTGCATGTTCAGACACACAGATATCAAGTATAATCAATTTTACATTTTTTACTGTAGATATTGTATGGAGCTATCTCTTTTATATCTACTGTCCTTTTTTGTCTTATTGGTACTATTTATATTTACCCCCACAATAAAAAAAATAAAAACAAAAGAAAATACCAACACCACCCTTCTCCTGGTATCAGCAATTTATGTTGGGCCATGGTTTGTGCAACCATTTTAAACAAGATGCAGAAACCAATTATGCTAAATTTTGGGAAGCACCTCAACTGTTAATTAATGAAATAAATTATTTGTGTTCTCTTGGGGTCATCAGTGGCCCTCCTGTGACCATATTTTAGTGCAATTCATAACACAATTAAAATAACAACACTAACCACCCAATTATATAATTATCATATGCAAATATGAATCGTATAACTTAACATTTTAGTATTACTTATCAGTCTTGGATTTGTAGTATTGTTTTAAAATTTAGTTTCAAAAGTTGTGTTTCACTTTCCGTTTTGGGAACTTCTGCACATGTATTTGGGTCCCCAAATACCCCAAAAGTGACTTTGTTTTGTTTTGTCTTTTTTCATCCCTCAGTCCATCTGCCCCTCGGTCGGTCAGATGGTCCGTCCGTCCGTCGGTCTGTTTATCGTCCGTCTGTCGGTCTGTTCATCTCTGACAGTTAGTCCGTCCACAACACTAGTGCCAAAACTTTTCATAGATTTTTTTTAATGAATATTCCCTAGTTGATCTGGCTAGACTCGAAGCTCTGCATGTATTTTTTTGTTTTAAAAAAATGAAACAAACTTAATTTTTTTCATCTCAGTCTTGTGTTGTTAACATTTACGCTACTGATGATTTGTACACATTATTGTGTTTGAGTACATTTGTTTTTTAATGATGTCTTATAATTCAAAATTACACATAAAAATTCAAAATTTTTCTGTGAATTGAACTCAAAATTCTGCATTTTCCAAAACGCTAAAATGCTATCTTCTCGAAAACAGCTCCCGTTTTTTCTTTAAATTTTTTTGAACGGATAGTGCAAAATGGATTACAATATGACATCAACTCTACTCTGTTGTGTTCTTTTGTTTTTCAAGAATTACATAAATGTGATTTTTTTGAATTATCTCTCACACCGTTAATTTTTATATTACCAGTGATTTGTATGAACTATTGTTTTTATGAGTATAAGTGCTTCAACTGATGTCCAAATAAGTTTCTCAAAAACTCAAAAGTTTTCAGTGATAAAGAGCTTCAAATTTTTTTATTTACAGAAATGCTTAAATGATGTTTTCTCATAAACAGCTCCAAATTTTTCAATTAAATTTGTTATACATGATGATATTTTACTCTTCTATAATATTTTTGTGTCATATATCCGTTCTACTATTAGGGGACAAAAAAATTGAGCAAATATGAAAAAATGTGTTTTGGACAGCCATCAATGGCATCTGGCAAAAGGAAGGCAAACCTAAAACTAGTCCATTCCAAAGAAATCAGAAAAGTAACTATGAGAAACCATGAGCAATTCTGTATCACCTCTAGTTTTTGTAATATTCTTCTAATTTTTTGTATATTTCTTGGATCCCTAGTGTACATCTTATTTTGAACTGAAGATGTCTTCAAGTTTTGAAACATCATTACAATAAATATTGTATGACGATGTTATAAACATGTAAATTCTTAATATGAGGAATAAGATATCTTTAATAGTTCCTAATTGCCCCTAAAAAGGCTATAGTTATCATTATCAAAATAAAAGAGTTCACATTACACAAATGAATGTAAAATAAACAACCACTTGCCAGTGGTGGTTTTCAATTGTTCTTTCAGCATAATTTGTAGTAATATTCATTAATTAATTCTTCTAATACCTGTGATATTTCTACTAATGCCTCAGGACAACATGTAGACAGATAGTTCTCTGCTCTCGGTTCACTTGTTTGACAAATAAATGTTAACAATGGGTGATCTACCATTGTTAAGCTGAGCATACTCCATAACAATTTTGTACTATTTTTGTAAAAATGACATTTTTGGTAACATTTGAAAATGCAACCATACTTCACTTTCAACAATTTTGATGCTATCACTTCAGTGGTGGTACTACTACTCTCTTTTCCTTGTCTTTCTGCTTGTTTCTCTTTCTGTATCTATCTGCCTCTGTCTCCCTCCATCTTTTATCTGTGTACCTGTCTCTTCCGGGAATTCACAATTGCAGGGGCAGACTCTTTAATACTTTTGAGTGCTGCATGTTGCTTAGAGCCTGAACAGGGGCTCTTGAGTCAGCATAAAATTGGAATCAATGCGTGTCTACTTGCGCAGGTATCAACAAACAAACAAGCAAACAAACATAGTCTTTTATATATAAGATGTGGAGAAAATTTAAAGAAAAAATTTAGAGTGTGTTTTGAGAAAAAAAATTGTTAATTTCAAGCGCATATAGTGCAAAAAGCTACTTTTTTTCTTCTTTCTTGAAAAAATGTACACAACGTTTTTTAAGGAGCTAACATACTTTGTCTGAGGCAAAAATTTCGATCTTCAATTTTGTAGTTTTAATTTTTTTCAATTTTTGAGAAATTGGAGATATCAATGAAAATGAGATAATAAACACCCTTCCCATTATACAACAAGAAAATTTATTCAAAAAAATTGGAGCCATTATTTTGAAAATGTCCGGAGGGGCTTCATGTAAAGTATTCCCCTCTAAATTAAAATATCAGTTTCAAAATCCAGGCCCTGTCATCAGCTAGAATGATTGGAGAACATCAGTTTTGGAGAAAATTGGTTGAATGGTTTATGCGCTAGCCTTGTGGCCAAACAGATGGACGTTTTGCCGTCAGTCGATTTTTCTGTATGAAGGACACACAAAACATGGATTCTGGACACCGCATGTTAGAGGAATTTTTTTTATATATTTGGAAATTGGATTTATCCACATTTTTTGTTACCTGGGCCTAGCAATAATTGTTTTTGTGTTGAAAATTCTTCGTTTTCTGGTGCACGATTACAATACTTTCTCTTTCTTTGTTGATAAGTGCGACAAAGTAACAAAAACCTTTTTCTCTTTATTATGTATTTTTGAATGTGAAGGCAAAGACCTATGATATTAAGAAACCATGTTTCCTTTCTGCAGTATACAAAGCATTTACCTCCTCACAACTCTCCCTGCCAAAAAAAAGAATATGTAAAATTGGACTAATTGCCTATCAACATTTAGCGGTTCATTTATATTTTTACATTTCGTTAGTGATTAGGCATTTTTAATCTGTTAAAAATACATAATACAATGTTGCCTGTTACATGGAATTCACTTATAATATTTTTTCTTTTTCAGAACTTCATTAAAGCCAAAAGATTTTTCATTGGTGAGCCTGTGTGGACGCCACACAATAGACCAGCTGATGAAATGGAGTGTCGCCAGAATTATTTGAAGCGCCTAGATAATGGATTTGAAGAATGATTACACTTACACTTAAAAACTATATGATTTACAATGAAATTCTATAAAGCATATATTTTAGGATGTATAATGCCTTACTTAGGGAGAAATGATGAAATGCTCTGTAATGGCAAATTACATTAAACTAAAATTGTATATATTCTTTTGAAACAAAAGGTAAATATTCATGAAACCTTGGCAGCTTTGGTTATTACCTAATACCTGTGTGTTGCTTTGTGATCAAACAATCTCTTTACCATAAACTTGTACCTGAATTTATAATTGCAAATGTGTTGTGAGAAATTAGAAATGAAGTGCAACAGCTGCCTATCAAAACCTGTATATGAGTAGAAATTCTTGCTAAACCAGATTTTGGTGAAACCGATGGCATCTATTGAAATTTTGTATTGATTTGTTTTTTTTGCATTTGTATAGATTTTCCTGAAATTTGTTTCTCTTCATATTGCCTGTTTACACATAAAATGTAAACTTTAGAGAACAATTTATTAGGATGGGTGATTTATTAGGTTATTAATTGTCTTGAATTTTTATAAAGAATCCTTTGGGTTTGAAAGCCAAACATTTTTGTGAAAATCTTGTATTTTCTCTAGAGAGCATATTTGTATACATAACTTTTATATATATAATGTGTTGATTGGCAGCACAATCAAATGGTTACTGGGTAAATTTTATTACTATATATCAAAATAAAACTATTTTGCATTTTATATCATTCTATTTCTTTCATAAATCCATTCATCCTCAACTCCTGAATTTTTATTAGCAACAGTAACACATTATATAAAGGTTAGGTTTTTCACTGAAAACACAGAAAACTAAGAAGTAACTTTTATACATTTTTATGTTTAAATGCTATTGATTTTTTAATTGTTTATGGAACCAATTGTGCATTAATAAACCAATAATTCTTTGCTTAAGTTGTAAATAATTTTTCATGTTCATATTTTTAAAGCTTATGGCATTTTTGTGCAGATAAACAGAAAACTTCCAGTAATATTAATTTTCACTGGATTTTCTTGAGATTAGTAATCAACTGAATCTATTTCTTTAAGGGTCTGAAAATTAAGATGAGTAGAGAATGAAATTGCATTTACAATATTGTAAGTTGTAGAATTTCTTTGCATTGACTAGGGTAGAGTGGTTATGTCTCAAAACTCAACAATTTGGACTAATATTTTTAAAGTCTGGGCAGCTACCATCATTTAGTGAAATTATCTAGGGCTGGTCTGGAAATTATTAAGAATTATCAATTCATTACATCTTGAGTCAAATGAAAGAGATTCATTCCAGACCATGAAGATATGGTATATCCTCATACACATAAAAATGTACATTAATGGGATCAATATATTTTTGCCTACAAAATTTACAGGATTGAAGAGTTTGTTTAAATGGAGTACATTCCTTTCTCAAATTATGAACATTCCATCTCTCAAAAAGAGTTCCAAAATATTGTTTGAACATGTCAAAAACATTTTTATATAAATTCAAATTATGATTTTCATGAGTCAGTTATTGATAGAAATAAAAAGACCTAATATTGAATTGTAAGATTTTATTCCATGCCTAGTAAATTAATAATCTTGGCAGAATTGTGTAGGCTTTTGTATTTAGCCAGCATCGAGATTATAGAATAATATCTTACCTTTTTTCCCATAGAGGGAAGAGTATATGCATTCTTCAAGCTTTGTGTAGTATCAAGTAGGTACTTCTGTCATGCTTCTACACACACTTTGGTTGAGTTTCTTTGACCAATACATGTTTTAGAGGGATTTTTTTTTATTTTTGTTTTGTTTCTGAACAATTGTATTTTTCAGAATTTCAATTTGAAGGTATTTATTGGGGAAATGTAAATTTTGGAGCTCCTAAATTTCCTCACTGAGTTTCCTTCTTGTTTTTATAACATAATCAAGGGTCTGTACCATTATTAAAATTGCAAGTGCAAATTGATATGTGTCAGTGAAGAAAATTGAAACAACTCAAAATGTACTTAATTGATAAAAAAATGAACAGGGAGGGGGAGGGGATGCTATGTAAAACGTTGAATTTGTGATTAGCTTTGCTCAAAATAGCATAAATAAATAGCTTGTGGCAAGAAAGAAATAGCAATAGCTTGTGAAATCAACATTATTGGCAATCTGTATGACTATTTTTAGAAGTAAATTGGAAGAGGCTTTATAATCTTCCTGAAAGTAGCAAAATGGAAAAAACCTTTCATTTAATGGTTTGAACTGTTTGTATAAAATGACATATTTTGTTGCAATATTATTTTTACTGATTTCAAGGGGAAAGGAAAGCTGTGTGTTTGAAATTAACTTTAATGGAAAATATGACACAGAAAACAAAATTTAAAAAGTCATTTAATTATTTCATTTATACATTGTAGTAGTCAGAAAGAAAAACTAAATAATTTTATTTCTCTAAGGGGTGAATTTTCTTCAAATATACAGTTTGAGAACAAATGGAACTTGAAAGAAATGTTTTGTTTTCCTAAAAGATAAGTAGTATCGACAAACATTGATTAAAAAACTTAAGGTATTAATTTCAAGAGTGTAGAAGTGAGCAAAAATGCCATACCTGTTTCCTTATAATGTAAAATTTTAAATTAATTTTTTTTTTAAAGTTTTATACTGCTCCTTGTGACTTCCTTTGTGTTGAACTATTGAATTTTGAGCTATTAATTTCGGGTTTAATTTTTCATCACTTTCAATAGGTTGAGTTTGAAATTTGTTGAAAACAACAGTAGACATACAAACTAAATCTCATAATGATAAAATGCCACGGTCTTGGGCAAGTTTCAGCTGCAAACCTGCTTACTGATTAGAGATTTTAAATTCATTTCCCTCTTGCCGTGTTCGATATTTGCACGAGTCGCGGCACGCAGATCTCGATAGGGTCGTGACTGGATCGTGGTGTTAATCATCTTTACGCATACGGGAAGATAGCAACTAAAAATTGATGTTGTACAGCAACAATAAATTAGAAGTGTTTTGTTTACACATATGGCATTGGAAAATGAAAGAAATCAAAGGAGTTTCTTCTCTGAAAAGAAGAAATCCCGGTAATTCATGAAGTCATACGTGACTTAATTCAGATATGTGTACCAACAAAAAGGTGAGAAAAACAGGTAGGGTGTATGTCTGTTTTCTGTAGGTCCTTTTATGTAACATGACATACTTTACGTCGTTCGAAAACAAACGCTTGTTGGTAAATTCTTGTAGAAAAAATATGTTAATTTGATATTTTGTTAATATGTTGTTTACGGCGAAAGTATACAATTAATGTAAAACTAGCTTGCAATATTTATTGGATTTCTGGGATATAGAAGTACATTTTTTATGTGGGACATGCGCTTCCAGACTCAATGGCACCTCTTCCCCGACTTGGCAGCGTAGCCGAGAGCATTTTCGATCAATATGGGACGAACGCGGAACGTTGCGTTTCGGTAAATGTCACGTCTCTTGGTGGACGTCAGGCAAAAGAGGAGGATCTCTCTCTTGCTTTTCTACTTTAACTTCACAAAACCCTGCTGCATTTAGTACAGATGTGTTGCTGTGGTAGTATTGTGTTTGAGATACGCGCCTAGAGTGTGAACAAAAGACGTACGATCATCAGCAGGAGAATATTGACTGTTAGAACTGAGCACTTTTCACATGTGCTTTATACTGTGGTTGTTTATGCAAATATACTGTTATAACTTGTAAGAGACATCTATTTACTGTTGAACATTGCCTACCTTGTTATAGCGGTGCGCGAGGTGATCGGTTACTACCACCCTTGCGTGAAGTGTACCAGCAGCAAAATTCGTTCGTGTGTCATTCAACAGGCTGTACTGAAGCACTATTCGTATAAAGCAACAACGATCATGTTTTCCCTTTGGTATGCGTTTCTGGCGTATAGAGAACTCAAGTAAGTGGAAAATATTTAATTATATTTCATTAACACATGTATTTCATGTTCCCGTAAGTCGCATCTTGTGTTTTATTTTTAGCTGCACTTAGCTTTGTGATGCTATTTCTGTCACACAAAAGATATTACAGAAACTTTCCATGTAAATTTCATTAAGTTATGCAGTATTTAAGACCTTTTACTATATTGATAACAGCATCTATCTGAACTAGTCAAGCATGTTATTCGTCGGACATAGAACAGAAACCGAGATGTGTCATGTGCTAGTGACAAAACGTGCAAGAGAGGTGTAATTAAGGGTACTAGTTGATCCATAAATTCAAGAAATTTATTTAATTATCCACGAAATGTCTTGTAAACTTTTATTTGTACATGAAATGACAAGAGGAAAATACAATCTCGCGTTTGTGCTAAGTAGTCACGCTATAATTTATAATTATTTTCAAGAATTGTCTACATTTGTCTTCTAGGCATTTAATGCCCAAAGAAAACGTGATATTGTTTATTCGAAACATTTTTTTTTTTTGAAACATGACTAATTGTGAAATACGACTATTTATGATAACCAAACAGATTTTCGTAAATGAAAGATGACTTTTCTGAAAAGCCTTGTGTGGAGACAAATGTTTCATAAATAAATTAAGCCATATATCTCGAACCGTAAAGGCATGCTTTAAAAATAAATTTATTTTTCCACTTGTGTGTGTCATTAGATGGGTCATACAAGACTTTAGGAAGAATTCTGTTCGTCTTTACCTGCAGAGAAGCTGATCGTTGAATGACCATTGTGAAATGGAACAAGTATCTCTTATCTGCGAACAACAGAACACCGATTGATCGCTCCAATTTCTCGAAATAAGATAGTAATGGGCGTTTCTATTTTTGAATAGTGTAAAATTGTACATTGGTGCGATTCTCGAGACCTCTTTTGGGACTTTGGAAGAACGACACGAGTAATAGTTTTAGAAAGTGCCGCTAGATGCCAGCACCAATTATTTCTCTATTTACCTGGCTGGAGTAGTATAGAAATATTAGGGTACCCGTGCGAGAACTCTTCCATGTTAAACCCCACCCCCTTTCATATCCTTCCACTTCCATATTTGGCCCATCATTTATATTTTTCTTTAATCCTCCGTCACTGGTCTCTTTTTAATTGTACTAATTGAACGTATTTTAACATAACAGTACAATACACCCTTGTCAATACAAGTATTCTTATTTAACTTTCTTACCGAACAGAGAGGTACTCTGGTGCAACTCAATTGCGTAGAATATCAAGTAATTATTTTAATTTCACATATTCGAAATTCCAGATTTTCAAGCCTAAAGCGAACTATATAGATTTCAACAACGTTGCTCAAGTAGTGCGGGTTGCATTTAATATAAATATTCAGTTTAATTTCACATACAGTTGCAGATTCTGCTCGTCTCTGAAAAGGTGAGGTAGAATCGTGAAGCGCTGATCCAGCAAAACGTCGTAGAATATCTCATCGTGTAGGTTACTGTGTGAGGAACGTTCTTTGAGGCATTTGGCCTCGAAATGCCAAATTTTCAAGACCTAAAAGCCTAAAACGAGCTATATAACTATACAGATTTCAACAACGTTGCTAAAGTAGTGCAGGTTGCATTTAATATAAATAGTTTATGTTTTTTAAAACAAATCCTTCTTATTTTATTTTAAATTAAAGTGCAATTCGTCAAGTCTTCGTGTAATTCTCTTTCTTTAAAGACCTTATTTATAAAGATTGCACATGAGAGGCGCAAAAATCGTCTATACGAGCACTACTGCAATCATGTAGCAAAGGGTTAAGATTTTGTCTTTATCATTTTTTCTACTCATGTGTTTTAATTTTCCGAATCCTCACATTTGCACTGACGCAACGGATTAAAATCGCAACATGAAATGCAATGTTGCCTCAAATATAAGGCAAATGCGCATTGGACCGAAACTTCTGAATTACAAGATTTCTCCTCCAGCTTCTCCTTCGACATGACCGATGTACATGCCACCAAATACATTGCGGTCGTTTTTGAGTATTTTTTTTAAGAATTTCAATGAGAACTATACCCGTGCATTTTTGAAAAAGGTAAATAATTAACATAATTTTTGAAAGATTATCTAAGTAACATTTTGACTGTAATTAGTATAGTTTTCAATTATTCATATATGGTCTCTAAAAATCCTCATTCAGTAATATCCTTGAATTCGTGGGATATCTCTAAGATGATATTTTGACATCCCGTATTATTAGAGGAAAGGACCCATATCTGGACACCCATTTTGTCTTCGAGTATTTTTAAATCTAATTTTCGGCACAATTAAATGAAAATATATGCAATGCATCCCTTACTTCGTTTTACAAATGCTGTATTCTTCTTCAAATGATTTCCGAAGTAGTTTCAGAACAAAATATGTTTTTCGTAAGCCAGCCCCCAAAACATGTTAAGAAATGGGTAAAAATATATTAAATAACTACAAATAGATTGAACTGAGTCTATATTTTTATAAAAAAACATGTTTAACATCTTATACACAAAAAATTGTGTTATATGTCTTGCAAATAATCTATATATTTTAGTGCAACAAAAATCACACA